CATTCTTTTTAAACTGGTTTTTTTCTTCTCTGCTGAGACCTTGTGTATTTTCAGTCATTTCATTTGTGTTTACCTTTGCGTCATGGAACATAGGGATAATAGCTGCTCTAAAACGTCTTCGTGATAATTTCAGTGTTTGTATCGTCTAGAATTTGGGATCTCTTGATTATGGGCTTTCCTTTCTTTGAGAATTTGTGAGATTTTCCTAGTTCTTTGTATGTTGAGTAATTTTGGATTACATCCTGGGTATTGTGAATTTCATGTTAGGTTCTGTGCACTGTATTAATCCCCTGCACAATGCCGGTGTTTGTTAAGCAGGTCTTCATCCTGATTAGGTTCAAACTACAAGTTCTGTGTGCTGTGTGCACACAGAGGTTCCATTGTAAGATCAATTTTCACAACTTTTGCTGTGCTACTTTTGTTTTGTCCTGCAGCTCAGGTGTGAACCTGAGTCTTGTGGGAGTTCATTTATAGAATCACCTGATCCTTACATTCTCCTGCCCAAAGCAGCCATTTTTATTACTTCCTTTGGACAGAAAGACTGGGTTTCTATCAGAGTGAGTTACTGTTTGCTCCTCTGCCTCACTGTGTAACTCCATGTCTGGGCCCACCCTTAGGGCAGAGCTGCTAGGGAAGAGTGAACAAAAATGGGGGGAGCTTTTGACTCTCTTCTACAATCTGTCTGCTTTTCTTTTTACTGTCCTCAGGGAGTTGCTTTTTAAAATTTTTGCCCAATTTTTAGTTTTAAGTGGGACAGAGGGCCTGTAGTGGGCAGATACTATTTTATTTTAGCCAAACTGGAACTCTGATTTTTGACATTTAGAAATCTTGGATATGTGGTATATTTTTTTAATATATTATTTTATTTTTTCAAATCATAGTAATACATACAACCAATATATATAAAGGTAGGAACAAAATACCTTGAACCAAGATGTTATCACCATGGTTTGTCTATGTAGCATAGAACTGAAAAGAAGGTGGGATTGCAAAGTTTGGTCCATTTGCTTCATCTTTGTGTTACTACATTTGTCTGGGGTTCCCTAGGAACTGAGCAGAACCTATTTGTGAATGGCATTTGAAGTCCCTGTGGTTAAAAGAAATGTATGTGGGACTATTCCAATCTTATCCTTAAACCAGCATTTGGACTTTTGTGTTTGTAAATAAATCTGGAAGGTACATCTTCATACCTCAAAGTGGCTTAGTTTTTATTAGGTCCATTCCTTACCAATATCCAGCTGAGACCAGTGACAATTAAGGAACAGGGGAAGAAAGAGACAGAAGGGCATTAGTTTTTAAGTGTAGGGCACAGATTGGGGTTGCAGTGCATTCCCTTGTCACTGTGAGATAAAGGGGAAGCAGAAGAGGGAGGTTAGAAGGGTCAGAAGACAAATTTTGTCTAACGTTGCTCGTAATAGGTGAATGCTTTTGTGGAAGAGGTTCACAGGGGGTGGGGAATTATTTCCTGAATTCTAGGAAGGATGGTGAACAGCTAATACTCGTAAATGTTTTGCAAGGAGCTGCTGATGATTACAATATACTTTGGACCATAGAAGTTGTTCTACTTTGCCAGACTGTGACTCTCTCAAAATAGCTGTAAAATATTTAAAGTGAGGTATATAATTATTATATCTATAGAAAAGTGACAGTAGTCTGTGCTTTCGTTATTATGGTTTAGTATTGATGATGCTAATTTCATAACCTGAATTGAGGAATATTTGATCTTTCTCTGTGGAATGGTTTTAGTAAAAGGAATTATTTGTTCCTTCAAACACACCCCTAAAATTATTTTTTCTTGGGATCTTTTTACTGTTAAATTTTTACATTTCCATTTATTTCTTGGTCTATTAAGTGTATTATACTTTTTTAAAAGATCATTGTGGAAATTTATAGTAAGGTAGAAATACATCTATTTTCTCTTGATTCTCTGTTGCATAGAATTATGCATAACATTTTCTTAAGCAAAAATTCTGAAGAAAATATGAGCAAATTGGACCTAGGTATGTAGTAAAAGAGTAGCATGCATATCTGAGTTGGGTTTATTACATAAATTCCAGGATAATTTATATTAGGAAATCTATCACTATAATTTAGTATGCTACTTAAGAAAGAAATACATGGTCATCTTATTAAATACTCAAAAAAAAAAAAAGCCTCTGAACAGATTTAGCAGCCATTTCTAAATGAAAATTGTAAGTCAAATAAGAATAATAGGAAACTGCCTAAATGTGGTAAAAGCTATTTACCAAAACAAAACAGCAAATATAACTATTCCTAACCTATTTCATTGGTTATGAAATATCAGAACCATCAGCATGACAGTCAAGGGCAATATAAAAGTTCCTGCTATCCTGGCTATTATATAGCTTTGCTTTATTGGTTTGGGCACATAATGTAACCTTAAATTCTTTATTCCCAGAGGATGTAGATCTAGAAAACCGGAAAGACTCATCTGAGAGACATAGCACCAATAAGAAAGTGGCTGGGTACCAAGAAGATCGTTAAATCAATTACTTTTCTTTATTTTGCAATAAATAGTAAAGAAGGGAAGTAGAACAGAACAGAATGTTTTTTTCATGTTATATATATATATATGAAATAATTGCCTTACTGTGGTTTTAAAAATAAGAGCTTACTGCTTTTGTAAAGCTCAACAAAAAACAGGTATGATCTGTCAGTTTAAAGAGCATTATGAAGATTAAGTGAGATGAAACACATTAAAATTTTCTAGAAAATTACTGGGGCACCTGGGTGGCTCAGTCAGTTGAGCGTCTGACTCTTGATTTTGGCTCAGGTCATGATCTCAGGGTCCTGGGATCGAGCCCTGCATCAGGCTCCCTGCTCAGTGGGCTGTCTGCTTGTCCCTCTTCCTCTGTTCCTCCTCCCACTCTCTTTCCTTCTCTCTCTCAAATAAATAAATAAAATCTTTAAAAAAATTTGCTTCCCTACACAGTGTATTGAGTGAGAAATAGTGGAAGAAGAGAATAGCAGTCATAGTTTCTAAAGAGAACTGGCAGGAAGACGTAGCCTGCTTCAGAACTGGAGCCAGAACCTCCTCTGCCCCCACACTTAAATATGGCTGCTTGACCACATGTGTTTTCTCTTCTTCTTCCATAAAGTCTGCAGTGATCACACCAGAAGCATAGCAGATGTTAACTCACAGGGAGAAAGATAACAGTGGAGAAGACAGTGAGCAAAAGTTTTTAAGAATTTTCTGGAACCAGAGAGGGAACAGAATGGTAACTGAGTTCAGAGAAAGGTGCAACCTAGTGCCTACAGAGGGCCGATAAAGATGGAGGACAAGTCAGCTGGCCCCAGGAATGTCTTGACAGGCTTCAGAGTGTTTGGTGGCTGCCAAAGACGGAGGTCAGTTCTGCAGCTGAAATGGAAATTGTTTAAAAATCTGTATCCAGATCTTTTGGAATGTCTTCTCCTGCATCCCCAGCAGACAGGTGACTTCTTCAGTCCTGTTTTTCCTAGAACCAGAGAGGCTGCTGACCAGAAGGGTGAAGCTTGGGGCTGAAGATAAAGGGCATATGTGTTAGCATATATTTGGAAGTGTAGGCCCCTTCACATCTTCCTTTCTTTTCCGTTCTTCCCCCAAAGCCAGCACCCTTCCGTACACTTCTGTCTGGTTAAACTGAATGACTTCAGCAAAGAGATCTCTGCATACTGATGTTTGGAGGTCTCTTACTGAAATGTGACTGGACACGTCTGACCATTGTATGCAGAAGCCCATCTGTCAACAGACCTGGCACCCATGCCCATTTTTTTAGTGCCTTACTCTTAAATATGAAGAAGCAGCCAGGGATCACCAGATACCTGAGGAAAGCCTCAAAAGTGAGAGAGACCCAAAACAAACAGTCAGCCAACAAACAAAAAAGAAATCAAATGATATAAGAGACAGAAGAAAATGAAAGAGCAAAATACTCCCTCCCCATCCCCTTCCCCCAGTAAAAAAAATCAGGAGAGTAAAAGTTGTGTCCATTAAAAGAAAAGACAGGGCAGTAGGAATAAAGAGTTGAGAACAAGAAAGAGCTTTTGGAAGTTTAAAAATATGATAGTTGGGGGAAAAAAAATCCACGGACAGATTGGAATATAAAATTGAAGAGTATTAGGGCAGGGGACTGTCATTTTAAAAATCTAAATGTATCTAAATTGTTTAATGTATGAATATTTAGTACTCGTTTTTAACTATATGCATCTACCATGTTGTTAAGCATAAGGATGATACTCATTATGGATTATTTTTGTTGGGGAAGAAGACAGGGTTGGTTTCACATCGGCTGTTCATGATGGGATTTTGGAGCGTTGGGTTTGTGTTTGGTATTCTGGACATTAGTACAATATACATTGGTTACAACCTTTCGCAAAATCGGCAGTGCTTTTCAGGGGTAGAACACAGGCTGTGGGGTGTGCTGGCCCTGCTCAAATCCAGCCCTGCCACCAGATGTGTGGTATTGCTCGAATCACTTCATCTCTCAGGTTCTCGTTTTCCTCTTCTGTAGTAAGGGAATGGAAGTCCTTTGTGTGTCTCACCTGTATCATAGGGCTGTGACGATGAAGGGATAAGAGCTATAAAGTACCTATAACAGTGTGCAGCGTGTACTACGTGCTTATTAAAAGAAGCCGCTGTTAAAACCACCAAGCAGATGGGCTGGTATATGTAGATGGCGAAGAAAAGCATATATTTAAAGAGTAACAAACAACAATCATGATGTAACAGGCTGTCCTGAGCTAATAGTGTCACTCACAAGACTGACAGCCTCTTGTTTCCGGAGAGTCTTGCATCAGCGTTCCCCAGTGCCTGTCATTGTACCTGGCGCTAAGACACTGCAGAGAATGAATGAATACATTGGTTGTAACTTTGATTTGTAGTGCTGTTCCCGAGCGCTGGTACTGCTGTCAGTTTCTGATCACTAAAGACAGCGTGTTAGTGTGTTTATATGTATATAGGAAATGAAGTTTTCAGAAACTTAAATGTTGTATTTCAATTACAGGCGTCGATTAGCAAGGTAAAAGTGACAGAACCATGGCTCAGTTTCTAACACCTTTCGGAGGTAAGTTTTCAAAGATTTTCCTTTTTTAATGTATTCGAGACCTTTTTCTTTTTTCTTTTCTTTAAAGTGGCTCCATGCCCAGTGACCCTGAGATCAAAAATCACATGCTCTACCGACTGAGCCAGCCAGGTGCCCTGAGATCCTCTTTTTTTTTTTTTTTGAAGATTTTATTTATTTATTTGAGAGAGAGATAGCAAGAGAGAACAGAGCAGGAGGGAGGGGCAGAGAGAGAAGCAGACTCCCCGCTGAGCAAGGAGCCTGACTCAGGGCTCCATCCCAGGACCCCCTGGATCATGACCTGAGCCCAAGGCAGACACTTAACTGACTGAGCCAGCCAGGCACTGCTCTGAACCCTATTTTTAATATTGTTTCATCTGGATTCCTTGGAAGCAACTCCCAGGCATCATTTCATTTCACCCACAAATATTTTAGCATGTGTTTCTGAAAGATGTGAACACTCTTAAAGACATAACTATGATACCATTATCATACTTATAAAATTCACAGTAATTCCTTAACATCCTCAACTATCAAGTCAGTGTTAGAATTTCCCTGATAGTCTTCAGACCTTTTTTTGTTATGGTTTGTCGGTTCAATTCAGGGTCCAGACATTGCTCTCAGTTTATGTGTCTCCTCTGCCTTTCACTGTTTTCTCTTCACATTGTATTTGTTGGAGTGACTGAGTCATTTATTCTGTACTTTTCCCAAAGCCTGAATTGGAAGCAGGACATTTGTTTTACTTTATCTGCTTAAAACATACGAATCTTCATAAAATGGTTTTTTCAGGTAATTTTTCCTAATATTATGATGCAAGTGTTAAATACTAGTTTTGCTTACTGGCCAGGTTTTTGTTTTGTTTTGTTTAAAGAGAGGGCGCCATTATTATGGCTGCCTTTTGGCAACTGTCTAATCCAGTCATGAGGAGAGTGAGGCACAAATCACCACCCCTCTGATCACATCTGTCAAAGTCCCTGTGGAATTCCAGCGCAGAGCCCTGCAAAGTTTTCACCACCATTAGCATTATTATTTTATTTTTGTCCCTCTTCTTAGTTACTGGGCAGGTTTGTGTTCTGTTGTGTTTTTGCTTTTGCTTTTGTTTATAATTCTGGGGACTGATTTCAACAGGGCAGTAGAAGTTGCAGGATTACAAAGCCTCTGAGAAGGGATCCTATCTTTTTTCGGTCCCTATGGTGTCTCTGATGTCTGACACAGTGACTGGCATGTAGGAGGCAGCCAGGAACTCTGTTTCCAGCGACTGACTGAATCTGTCTTCCTGTCACTGTCCGACTGGATGACATGGAGAGGGGAGGCGCGACATTCAGACATTTTACTTTTGTGCCGGTCACATTCGTATTTTGTATGAAACATACGTATTGCCTGTTCCACCTTTTTTGGAGAGTATCCGAACTTTTGAAGGTCTTCCATCTATGTAATCTAAAATTATTTTGATGACACTGAGGAGACCTAGGACGAACGTGAGGAAGATCTCAGAAGTGAAGGGGCATCTGGTCAGTCTTAGAGCTGAAACTGAAGGAGAACCCAAATCCCATTCTCTTCAGTTTGCCTTTATCTTTTTCCAGGATACCCATTTTTAAACAGATCTTTATTGAGGTATAGTTTACATACCATAAAATTCACCAGTTTTCACCAGTTTTAACTGTACAATTCAGTGACTTTTAGTAACTTTACAGAGTTGAATAATCATCACTACCATCCAGTATTTCAGTATTTTTGTCACTCCAAAAAGATTGTCATGGAATCACTTGCAATACGAATTGTGAAACTCTGCTTCATTCCTTTCTCCTGTGACATTTAAAACACCTGAGAATCTAGTTTTAAATTGGTTTGTTGCTTGAGTTTATGTAAATAAATGGCTATTAACTTATGTCTCTATATAGTCCTCCTAGCTACAAGATTACGGGATAAGTTTTTTTAAAAAGTGTTTGTGCCGGTATCTTTCTTATTTTGGCCTGTTTTACTTTTAGTTTTCTAGCTTATATGCATAACTTCCAAGGACAAACAGATGTTAATTAATCAAATAATTGATAACATAATGAAAGAATTTGGAAGTACTAGGGAGATAGTGCATGTGAGCACTTCGTTATTCTTTTTGCATTGAATAATTTTTTTTTTCTTTGGTTTATAGGCAGCCTGGATATCTGGGCGATAACTGTAGAAGAAAGAGCGAAGCATGATCAACAGTTCCATAGTTTAAAGCCAATATCTGGATTTATTACTGGTAATTGGAATCTGTATTTTTATATTTTTACTTATCAGTGGTGCATAGATCTGTGGAAAATCCATCTTGCAAAGCTAAGGTGGGCACATGTGACCCAGGTGGACATCTGCCTTAGCCTTGGGCCTGTATTTTTTCAGTTGCTTTTCCTGTACTGCATTCAAACCTGTTTGCATCCCTTTATGGATGTCAAGCCACTTGTTGTGGGCATAACACTGATGGGAATTGCTAAAGGTCAGTGGACCACGTTCTTTAAGTAGTAAAGCAGTGGACTGTGCTCCTTGAGCTAAAATGCTTGTTTTAATTCTGATCTTGAACTGGTTTGGGAAATGTAAATAAATGAACAGATTCTGAATATTTAAAAAAAACAACAGAATTCTCTTATTGTTCCTTTTGTACTTTGCCTTTTCTTTTTTTTAAGATTTATTTATTTATTTATTCATTTGGGAGAGAGAGAGAGCATGCCCATGAGGGAGGGACGGGGGAGAGGAGGAGGGAGTGGGTCAAGAAGACTCTGTGCTGAGCACGGAGCCTGACATGGGGGCTGATCCCAGGACCCTGAGATCATGACTCCAGCTGAAACCAAGAGTCGGTTGCTGAACTGACTGAGGCCCCCAGGTGCCCCTGCCTTTTCTATTATCTTTTCTGTTTGGTTATTCTTCAGGAGATAGCTTTAGGAAAAATGGGATCTAGATTTCCTGGGGACTTGTGTGTGTGTGTGTGTGTGTGTGTATCACAGTTCTCTTTAAATTCTTAATTCTTAATTTTTTTTTAAAGATTTTATTTATTTTGACAGAGAGAGAGAGAGAGCACAAGCAGGGGGAGTGGGAGAGGGAGAAGCAGGCTTCCCGCTGAGCAGGGAGCCCGACGCGGAACTGGATCCCAGGAACCTGGGATCATGACCTGAACCAAGGGCAGATGCTTAACCGACTGAGCCACCCAGGCACCCAATTCTTAATTGTTGTTGTGAATCTTGTAAACATTGTTACTTTTACTCCATAAATATAGCAGAAGCACTGACAATTTGAAGTGTAGATATTGAGTCGCAGAGAACTTAAAAAAGTAGAAGTGTGGGTAATCAGTTTCCTGAGGATTCCTGTTAGATGTGCTTTGTCATATGTATAGCTGTTCCCATGTTACTTAATAGCAGGTTAATTAAAGTGGACAATCTACCCCTGCACTTGATAGGTCCTTTTTTTGAGATGAATTTTTAAAGTGTTAAGTTCTAAAGTCAGTGAATTCGTCAGTGAATCTGATGGATTCATTTTACTGTTGCTTATAGACTTACCATTTGGCTTTTATCATATATTTAAGTCTGTATTTGCAAAATTACTAGCCTCTTATTTTTGCAATTTTGCTGTAAGAATATATCGGTCAGCTGTTTCTTTTTTCTGAAACTTTTTCTATTTAATTTACAGGTGATCAAGCTAGAAACTTTTTTTTTCAATCTGGGTTACCTCAACCTGTTTTAGCACAGATATGGTAAGTTGGAACTTCACATAAGCAGAAGCAGGTAAAATAAAATATTCCAGTAATATGATTTCTTAAGATCTTGAAGGCGAACATAAATCTCTAGTCTGAAATACTCTACTACTTCTTATCAGAGAATCCTTGTGAAAAGTATCTTTCAATGTGGAACATTAAAAGAGAAAAAGAAAAAGTGGCGACATTTGTAGGGTAACACTGTCAAAAACCTGAATTTCCAGTGGAGAAATCTACATTTTGATATTTTCTTATTAGTTTGTTTTAGCTTCATCTACATCACCCATACTCATCTGAATGTCCCACATTTCTTGCTCTATAATGCAGTGGTTCTGTATGTTTCATTGACCACAAGGTAAGGAAAATATTTGAGGGCTAGTAGTGAAACAGCCAGCGGAATAGTGAAATTAACTTGTATTTATTACAGTGTTGTACAAGGCGAATGCATAATAAATAATGTTGAATTCCTTGATTAACTTGATTCCTTGATCACAAATAAGCATTCAGTCTTTTGAACCTACAGGAGAGAACGGGACAGTAAAAAAGAGTGGCAGATATTTTGGATTTTAGGTTTGTGACTTTGGTCATGCCATGCTGAGGTCTCTTGCCAAGAAGTCACATTTTCCTCGCACCGTGCATTTCTTGCAATTAATACTTCATTTCCAGAGTTTCTTAGTGTTGTGGGGGCGGCTCGCTGCGTAGTAGAAAGAGGACAGGATTTGTGGTCACACACCTGGGTTTGAATTCCAGCTGCACTACATTCGGTCTTTATGATTTGAACATGTATTCATCCGCTCTGACCTCTATTTTTTAATCTAGAAAATGGGCAGATGTATTTTCCTGACAGGTTTGTTGAAAAAATTGACCGTCTATAAAGGACTGTAAAAAACTGTATATAAATGACTTAGTGTGGGGCCCAGTGTGTAATAGGCCAACAGGCCCTCAAAACAAAACCCAGTGGTACCTGCTATCATCATCAGGGACTGGGTAGTCCCCATAACTAAATTGTCCAGCTAATTGCTTGTCCCCCGAAATGATCGACCTTTCTTAACAATTTAATGGAAATTAATAAAGATTGACATAGTCCCTTGTGGCCTTCAAGCAGAGTCTACAGAATGTAGTCCAAGCTTGATTACCAATGTCATCAGTATGAAAATCATTTACCGTGTTCTGAATAGCAAAACTCTCATGGGAAGTATATACATATATATGTATATGGATAAATTTGAATTGAAACTAAATGATACCAGATTCCTGCGCTTCTTTTGGTGTCTGCTTTATGTTCTTTTTCCTGGTTGTCAGCATATTGGCTGCCAGACCATCTCTTCGATTGGTGACCCTCCTCCTATGATGCCCTTCTAGCTCTTACTTCTGATCCACTTTGAGCTGGGAAAGTCACATAACCAAGGTTTTTGGAATTGCTTTTAAAATAAAGTAAAAGGTAGGGGTGCCTGGGTGGCTCAGTCTTTAAGTGTCTGCCTTCAGCTCAGGTCGTGATCCCAGGGTCCTGGGATCGAGCCCCGCATCGGGCTCCCTGCTCTGCGGGAAGCCTGCTTCTCCCTCTCCCACTCCCCCTGCTTGTGTTCCCTCTCACTGTGTCTCTCTCTATTAAATAAATAAAATCTTTAAAAAAAATAAATAAAATAAGGTAAGAGTTTTGCCAAGGGGTAGGGAGGTGGAGGAGAGAGCAAGAACTCATGTTCATGTGAGCACAGGGGCACTGACCTGGCAGTTAAGTGCCTGAGTTTAAATTCGAGAGACATGTGACATCTGTGTTAAGCGTAAGAAGCTTTCTTTTGCTTTGTGTTCTGGTATATGATTGTACTTTGCACCAGCAGTCCAGGTTGCTCACTACAACCTTCCTTTCTAGGCATAACTTCTTCCATTGAATCCTTTTAGGTCATATTCCCAATTTATGAATGTTCATTCAGGAAGCAGTTTTATGATGTGTATGTGCTGCAGGAAAATCTCTCATTACATTTATTCATGCAACAGTGGCAAAATATTTATTGCATGTCTTCTATGGGTCAGTGACTGTTGTAGGTGCTTGGGATGCAGCAGTGAACAGAATAGACAAAATCCACGCTTTCATAGAAATTGCAGTCTGGTGAAAGGATATAGTTAATAGTATAAAAATTGTCACATGATAGTAAGCGTAGTGAAGAAAAATAAAGTATCATCTAGTAAATTTCACTTTGTTTCAGTTAAGACAGTTGTCAGCTTTCCAAACTTTTTAGCTAAGCATATTAAAGTCATTTTTCCTACTTATTATTTTTATAGTGAAAATTTTTATTAACAACAAAGATGAGGAATTGTCAGTCTTGCTTGAGTCAAAACTGTTCTTTATCTTTAATTTTTTCTGACATTTTCTTAAATTTGTGATGGTGTGTTTTCCTTTTATCAAGAATTGTTATTGCAGGGAGGGAAGCACACCTCTAAGTATCTTTTCCCAAAAGAAATATCCTTGAGGAGTCATAGATTTCATGAACCACAGATGTCC